AGGATTTTACTTACGAAGAGGAAACTTGGCATGCCGTTAATTCTGTTGTAGTGAGTTTCTTTTTCCAGCCTGTAATCTGGGGTTGCTCTTTTTTTTGCTTTGCCATGAGCAATGAAGAGTGAAAGAGAAATGTTCTCTGAAGGATATCTGCTTTGCAGGCTAGATCACTAGGCAGGAGCAACTTCTACCATGTTGTCTGTGTCTTGATAGTTTGGAGTACGAGGTGTGCCTCACGGCTGGCTTTCTAGCTTTGCTGTGCAAGTTGCCAGAGAGAGAGAGGAAAGCACTTACCTGCTTTTTTTCTCAAACAGCAATGTGCATAGATTTCCCCTCAAAAGACTGTAGGAGTGCAATCACCTGAAAGTCGAGTTACTTCATTGTCTCCTGTTTTCCACCCAAGGGACACTGCGTTTGCATATTGGGCTCATCACTGAGCACTCTCATGTTGGATTATTCCTCCTAATTATGAGATGGGGTGCACATGAATATCACAGAGAAACCCTCTGCAACTGTTCCAGCCTTGTGCATTGACAAGATTGCAGATTGACTTGACTGGATTGGAGGTCCTGTTCTAGTTGTTCACTATATCAAAAATGAATGTTGCCCATAATTTTGCTATGTTGAGGGCTGGTTGTTTTTTTGTTTTGTTTCTTTTTGTTTTGTTTTGTTTGGTTGGGGTTTTTGTGTGTGTGTGTTGTGTTTTGGGGTTTTTTTTGGTTTTTTTTAGTTTTTTTAATGAATGGTTAGATAGAGAATTGGCATAGAAAGGACGAGATTATATAAACTGGTGTAGTATGCAGCTCTTGCGAAACTCCTGCTGATATCCATGGGGTGAAGTCTGCCCCGTACCTGTTAAGTTGCCTTTGCCTTACAGGGCAGAGGGGGTTCCAGATGTGTTTGAGCATGGTGGACATGTGTAGGATCACTTACATTTATTTATTTATTTATTGGTGTTAGATCTTATGTGAAGAAAGACAATATCTGCATAGCATTGCCATCTGGGTGGAAGTCCCAGGACCACTTCTGTTTGAAATAGAGATCATGTTTTTTCAGCATGGGATTGTAAAGTCCAGGTCGCATCCTATTGCTTGGTAGTTACATATTAATAAGGTGTAGGTCCAAAGGGCTTGTGTTAGCTTGTCTTGAAGTTCTTAATCTGGTGAAACTTTTCTTCATTTCTGTTGCATTTGTTCTACGTGCTGTACTACAGAAACGCTGGTCGTCTTGGTCAGTTTGCTTGTTGTTTTTCCTTTTCCGTTTTGGGAAGCCTGATGGTGTTACTGAGAACAGTGCTGGTAGGTTATTTATGTATTCTGCCTAATTATTTCATGGCTATATGCATTTGTCATCTTACAGTAAAGCGAGATGAACTATTTCAAGCCTCAGTAAAAGGCACTGCACATTTGTGTATTAGAATCAGCTGCTTGTTTTTACTCTGTCTCCTTATCAAGGGCTGGATCGAAGCATTCATGTAACACTGAGTGAATCATAGGTTTGAAGTGTTCCCGCTTGTAACTTCATCTGCAGACTAATAGCAGGTAGGGGAGCTTAACAAGTATCTCAGTACCGAGCACAGTGAAAGATGTTTGTGGAAAAAAAATTGCTGTTGAGCTAAATTTAGTTTTAATTTAGCTCATACTGAAGAATGGTATGCAACTTTTTTATAGTATGTTGTGTTTATAGCGTGGAAAGTACCTGTGCTTAAAACAGGCTTTTAAATCACACACTTTCTCTGTGCATTATTTTAGTGGGGGAACAAAAAGGCTTTTATTATGGAGTGCTTTTGTATCCATCGTAGCTCTGACAGAGAAAGCTGAATTCTTTTTCTGACTCGCATTCAATAGTATTAACAGGTTTCTCTGCACCTTCTGACTGCAGTTGCTGGAGCTCGTCAGAAAGCAGCTGCTCGTGCAGATCCAAGGTAGAGCTAGAGCTGTGGATTTCAGTCTGCAGTTCATGGTGCTGCTTTCTACTGCTGAGACGTTTCAGAAAGTTGGCTAGGAAATGCAAATCTGTGCCACGTATCACTCTACAAATGTGAACTTTAAAGGGATCTGCTTCCCCTGAAGTAGTTTGAAATCTGTCATTTGGAAAATGTTGAAAACCAGGCATTTAAAGCAGTCACAGTGTTTCAAGAGAATGTGTGGTCGCTACTGTGGAGAGGTTCGTATGAGGTCACCTGAACTGTTGCTAGGTTAGAGAGACTGTAGTGGGAATGTTTTCCCTTTTCCTTTTTCTGATGTCTCTGAAGGAAACAGACCTGCACTGTCCTTTCTGCACAAAAGAAAAGGAGGATTGTAGTATTTTTAGATAGGCCCTGACCGTGTAATGCCAAAAAGAATACACGTTGTTACATATTTTATGGAGGTGAAGTGAACATCGCTGGTCAATGTATAGCTGATGCTCTTTGATGGTATGATGCCTGATTCCTGACACATACCCCCGGCCCCAAGCAGTGTTGTACCAGGTCTGTAACTGCAGAATTAGCTGTAAAGAGTACTTAAAAAGTGGCCAAATAAAAATCACACTCCCATTTCAGAGCTATAAATTGGTATTAAGGTGTCTGACCTTGTTTGGCTGTTCCTTCAGAAAACCAGATGCAGCTTTATGTTATTGCTAGGGAACAAATACAAGTGCAGCATATGCCTAACTTACTTCCAGCTCCTTCATCAGCTTCAAAACTCAGTCGTTCTTCACTTCTCCCCTGGTTTCAAGTCTCTTCAGTTCCAGCTGTTTTCAGTTTCATGTTTATTTTATTACCATTGTTTTATTTCCTCTGTCTCTGCTCACTGTGAGATCTGGAATTTACAAGTCCAGGTAAATCATAATTAAAAAAAACTAGTTCTGCCAGGCTCAGGACACTTGCCTGCTTCTTTTCTTCCTACCCCCTTTGGTACTGCGTATAGAGATTGTCCCCCCACATTATAGGACAAGCTTTAAAAAAAAAAAAGAAAAGCTTGTTTTAAGAAACAAGTTGATGTGAATCTCTGTAGCTACTTATATTGATGCAGTTGATGTTATGGAGGGCAAGAATTACCTCATTTGTAAATTGATCTGCAGTCCTTAAATGTTGCACTGCATGATGGTAAAGCTACGTTGGCATGATCTGGATATATGCAAAACTCCCATGTCTCTCACCACCTGCTTACAAATAACAACTGTAGCCAAACGTAAAGGGATCTGAGCAGAAGATGAATTCCAACTTATTTTTTTTTTCTTTTATAGACAAGTCAATAAATGAAGAGTTTCATTCACGGACATATAGAAAGTCAAAGTAGTTTGACAAACAATAAAGCCTTGAACTTTTTATCGTCACCTCCATGGGGAGGAGCATAGGAGCTGCGAGTTAGTGACTGATGACTGTATGACTCATTGGATGTATATAGGATAAGAAGTGAATGTTCAGGCAAAATCTTCCATGGAAGAGAAATTGCTGTATGCTAGTAAATACGGCAGTAGCTCTCCCTGCATATTTGTAGGGAATGCTATTTGTTACCCACACAGGAAATGAAAGGAAGTATCCGCATCACCGCTAATTTTACAGCGTCCTGCTGAGGTCTCACTGAAATGTGCATTTTCAGGGCAGTGTAGTGATTTTTTGCAAGTTGAGACATGTCATAGAAATTGTTGGTCAAATGCAAATGCTGATTAAAAAGTGTAGAGGATTTGGATTGTTTCTGAACTCTCTTTCTTGTGATGTGATGTAGCTCTTACTTTTTTGTCTGCTAGGAGCTTACATTGGTAATCCAAACTGTATGTTTAGTCTTTTTATCTGTGAGAATACATGTTGTCTCTAACTAAAGAAGAGTTTGGTTTGGTATTAATCCTGTTAAATTCTTTTTTTTCCCTAAACATGGTTTTGCCCTTGGCTGATTCAACCACTAAGCTTTGCAGGCTCTTAAAGGTTGGAGTGCTTTTTCTGTACTCTTCTTTTCTGGATCTCTGTTTATGTTGTTCGCAGGGTGAAAATGATGTGCAGAATCATAATGTCTTATCTTCCTGCACCCTAAAACGAGGCAGATTAAAAAATGCAGGCAGTAAGCCTGAGTAATAATTTCTCAGTAAATATTTTACTGCTTTTTCCATCTGTTACACTAAAATCTGACTTAAACTAGGCATAAATCTAGTCAGAAGAGGTCATTGGGACATTAATAATCAGAATTAATCCTCTTAGACATGTGCTTGGTATGAGGCCAGCTATTCAGAAGTTTAATAACACACATGTTGCTTATCTGTCTGGCAGCTTGCCAATGAAGTAAACTTTCAGTTTGTGGTGGTTTTATATCTCTGTAAAGTACACTGCTTGTTTGGTTGGTGCAGCTTTTCTGTATGTTGCATATGGCACATAGCCTGCTACTGAAGAATGACTTCTCTTCAGGGTGCTTTCAAAGAGCTATAGTCTCTTAGCGTTGCATGGTAAGAAGTGGTATCATTCATGGTTGACCTTTTCAGGGTGCTTCCCTATGAAGTACAATGAGCCAAATTTAATACTACTTACTCAGAGCAGAGGAAGAGACAATATTTCAAGTAGAATAATACTGTGGAACCCAAATATAGCTGAATGAAACCTCACCCTGCCTCCGCTCCTGCCGTTCTGACTTGGAGGAAACATTCATTTACATAAATACAACTCTTTCTTGAGTCAGGTCTGGACTGGACCCAGTATTTCTGTTTCTCTCTCTTCATAGGAGCATGCTTCATACTCGAGAGAATAATGATTATTTCATATCCTAATTATGGAACTGATTCATCCCCTGGGGCACAGAAAGCAAACAGTAGGAGTGAGTGCATCATTAAAAAAATTAGCGTATTTTTAGAGAGGAGGTAAAAATAAAATGCAACTCCATTGAAAAGTTTCATGATAAAGAAAAATGGCTTGCGTTAGAGGAAATTTTTAAAACAATCTGAGATTATGGCTGGAAGAACATATTTTCTTATTAACGTGTTTATACTTTGCTCACGTGAAATTATTAATTTTCTTCTTGCCTTTATTTCTCAAGGAGAAGAATGAAAGCTCGCGCTCCTCCTCCACCAAATCAAGCTTCTGCAGCAAGTAGAATTCACAGTGAGCCCAGGTCAGCTGCAGAGACAGCTGTAATTTCTGATCAGAACCTTGTGAGCATGAAGGAGAACATGATAAACAGATCGGTGGACTTCACAGTCATTTTACCCAATGGGGTGGAGCAGAAGAGCACAGTACAAGGAAGGTAAGGTTTTGATTAGCTCCCACTTTCTGGAGCCCTCCATTCCCAGTAGGATACTTGCTGATACTAATGTCTCCCTTTCTGGGTTGATGGGGTTTCTCTGTCACGCTTCTCTCTGCATTTTAGGCAGCTGTTGTACCAGAGAGTCCCAAGAGCCATGTATAAAGTGCCCTCTCTGCTGGGGCAGGAAGGATTTAGCAGCTATTGTGTCACTGTTCTTTCCATGGATCACCCTCAGCACGTGTATGGGTCTGTCTCTTCCATGTAGTGCCACTGGGCTAGTTTTAGGTTGTATCAGATCTCATAATCAGGGGGGGTTTGTGGCAGTGGAAGTAGGTGCTGCTGGCAAACAGCAATCCTGACAATATGCCTGTCTGGAGTCATGCTAAGAAGCAAGCTCAGAAGATGAAAGATTCATCCCATTCAGAGATCCTGCCTTCACAAATACATTGCGATTGTGTAGACAGCAAAGCATCTGCTGGTATTTAGGAAGCTTTTTCTGTATAAAAAAGTGTATTGTTTTTTTCCATGGGAAGAGGGAGAGGGTCTCCTTGTCATTGGGAACAACCAAGGGCAAGTTGTATTGGAAAGGCAGTTTTGAGATCATTTTCTTCACCATGGGAGCTCTTCCTTCTCCTCATCCTCTCTGAGAACTGTTTTGAAAGGGGGAAACTTACTACTTTAAGAAAGAATTTGGAAGAGTTTTAAAAATATATTCAATACTATGATGAAACTGTAGCAAACAATGGTGTGGTCAGCAGTGGTCAAGAAACTGTAGAAAGTGATAATATCAGATTAGGAGGATATGTAGATGCCTGTTGATAAATCAGGGCCTGTGCTTATTTTACATTTGGGGTTTGCAGTAGTTAGTCTGCATTCCTGTAAAAGTACTTTTCTTGGTCTGATATATGTCTGTTTTGATTGTTTGTCTATTAGTGTATTTTGATGGCTGAGGAGGATGTGTACAGCAGCGCATAGCGTCTGGTACTTCATTCTTCCCCCTACTTTTCTTGTAGAAATTAGTGTTCGCTTAGCCACTCTCAGGAGACTAGTGCAACTTGTGTGGCTCAGCCCCAAAGCTAGAGTGATGTTAAAGATTTTAAAGGAAAGCAGTGCTTATCAGAGCTCTCAAATTATGCATTTAGCGATCGAGTTTTTATGGGGAGATTCGGACTTAATGAGAGAAAGAAGAGAACAGGCCTGGAAAGTAGAACAGGATATGAAACTCACTGGCTGTTAGGTCCCAAAGAAAGCTGGTATTTCATTGGCAAATGCAAGCCACCTGGGAGCTCACAAGAGGCTAATCTTCATGCAGGATTTTTTAGAGATACATAATTGCCATGTGGTTAGAAAAGATTTTCTTTTCTCTCTCTCTCTCAAAAAAACCCCCAACCAACCCAAAACAAGCACTCCAAGAGCACAACAAGGGTGGTGTTTTAATGTGAACTTTTGAAGAACATACAAGCTACAGGAGCAGGGAACAAATGGAAAATCCCTGTATGATAAACATTCTGTCTCTCGCACAGGTGTTTATTATCACTAACATTGCTATCACATACTGAGACTGAGTATTTTTATTATTGGAGTCTTTAGTTTCTGGACTGAAACCTGAAAGAAATGTCGAAAATTAAACCTTAGATGTTTCTGTGGGCTTATTTATATCGTCTTCGTTAAGCACTCTAAGCAACCAAAATGTTCTCTTCATTGTTCTGTGAAGGTGCCCACTTCTCTCCATTGGCTGTATGACAGGTCTAGGCCCCTGATTTAGGCGGCAATTAAATTCCTGCTTGTGCTAATCTGCTAATCTGAGTATCACCAGTGCCTAATGTAGGTAGTAGGTGTTCTCCCTCAGCACTGTCTTGAGCACTTGGAGTGGAGAGTTAGTGACAAATGTCAGGCACTGATAGGCAGCTGTGGGAAGTGGAAGGCTGTGGAAACTGAGGAGGGGAGTAAATCATCCTAACAAGTTATGAAATAAGAAAAGGTTACCCTATAATGAGCCCTGTATTACAGTGGCATCAGTCTGTGAGCAGACCTCGTGTGTGCTGCTGTTCTTTCTAACCACTGGAAGATGACATTTTCTGTACATTAACACTGGTTACGTTTTTAGGGATGTGGCATAAAAAAAAAATGTAAAGAGCATCTGAAATTTTTAGGGGATGGACTGTCTTAACTCTCCAGCTTTGGGTGAAAGCCCAGGCTTTTTCATCTTTTTGCATTGTTTTGACATTGCTAACTGGACGGCCACAAAGTACAATGATACTCAGAGGTAAACATTCAATGATGAAGATGCTGGATTAAAAAAAAAAAGTTTCGTTTCATTTGAAGGAAGTATGGGAGCCAGTGCAGGTATTAAATTCTTTTCCCTGTTCACTCTTTTTTATCTATGGTGATATCATGGAAGGACATTTCAGACAAATTCTGCTGTTGTTTATACTGCTATAAATCTTCAGTATTTTCATTGCCATCATTAAAACAGCATTCTGCAAAATCTGTTTTTGGGTACCCTGAGGAAATAGCTTTTCTGTTGCAGAAGAATTTGCAAAACCTTGCCCTGGGCATCATCATAATAAAAAATGATTCTGTAATTTCAGGAAAGCAGTTCACAGAGCAATGAAGTACGCTAGAGGATGTTTGAAAATATAACTATAGTTAATTAGTATCACTTAAGGTTATTATAAATGAATCGATGTAAAAGTCAAAATTATCTCTTTCAATTTGTTCATTGTATGTAAGCAAAGCAGCATGTTGTTAATTTTACTTTTTTGTTTATATAGGCAGTTCCTATAAATATCAGCAAGAGGGCAGAAAATTCTCATTAAATTTTCTTGAAAGATAGTTCAAGAAAAAAAGAAAGTGTGTGCTATTTAAAGATATTTTATTGGAATCTGGAATTTAGTGGAAAAGCTCACAAGGGTTACCAGAAACCTTTTCTGTTTGCGATGCTCACAGGTAATACTTTCAGTGGGTAACCTGTAAATAAAGGGATCATGCGTCTGTCTCCATTCACGCGTGACACTGAGGAGGACTTCCTGATTAACACAGATACAGACCTTTACTGTCAGCAGCTTGAGAAGTCAGTAGTATGTGAAAAATATTGGAGAAAAATGGGGATGTTTGAAGCTAAATGCTGTTTGGTTTGGAGTTGTCAGCACATGGATGATTGATATGCAGAAGAGTAGACTGGACAGTTATTGCTCCTGCTGTTATCTTACATGTTACACAAATTCTCTCATACATGTGATGCACAGAGAGCAGGATACTAGAACAAATAATAAACTAGCTGAAGCTGTAGTCCCATTCTGCAAATACTGGAGGACAGAGCTCAGTGCAGAGTATGCACTATATGGAGCATAAAGCTAATGTCATCACAGAAAGAATATTCTCACATAATTCTCAGTGAAAGACTCTTAAGTGACAGTAATTGTGGGCTTATAGAACGGTGTCTCAAGAAAGACTGAAGGTGTGAAGTCAGCCCAGGTTGGTAAAACATGAAAGAGGTGTTGTTAGAAGATGAACAGGGCACATACAGCAAAAGGGTTAAAAATGAGCTTAACTAAATACTAAATAGGGGTCAGGTCAAAACTACAGTAGTTCAATGTAGGCTTTAAAAATAAATCTTACCAGAATAATTTACAGAATAATTTATGTTGGAAGGGGCCACTGGAACTCACCTGCTCTAACTCCCTGCTCAGCGCAGGTCTCACAAGAGCAGGTTGCTCAGGGCTGTCTCCAGGCAAGTTTGAATACCTCCAGGGAGGAGATTTCCAAACCTCTCTGTACCCCTGTTCCAGGGCTTGACCATCCTCGCAGTGAAGAAATGTTTCCTTGTACCTAAATGGAGTTTCCTATGTTGGCACTTGTCTCTTGCCTCTTGTCCTCTTGCTGTTCACTGCTGAGAAGAGTCTGGCTCTGTAACCCTACCAGTTGGTACTTAAAGACAGCAACAAGATCTCCCTTCACCCTTCTCATCTTAAGGCTCAACAAACACAGTCCTCTGCCTTTTCTTGTGTGTCATCCTGATGTTCCTTCTGTGGACTTGCTCAATTAAGGAAAGTAAGAGCCAAATATACATGGGCAAAATAAGAAAAGAAAAAGAAATAGAAAGCATTTATTAATATCTGTTTATCATGCTTCCTATACTCCTTTTGATGCAGCAGAAAGTCGATGTCATTTGAGAGTACAACTTTATCCTACACGTTTATTTCCTAGATGTACATGGCTGTATTTTAAAATGGATTTCTCTGGGTGATCCAAGGAGATTAGGCCAAGCCACACCCAAAACAACTCAGTTGTTTTCTGCCTCTTACACTATAGACGTCTTTGCTGCATTTTATTGGTGAACAACAGGACACAAGTGGTCTGACACGCTCAAACTTGATCAGGACTTCAGCCTGATAAATGTTGCTGACAAAGTAGTTATTCTTTACTGTCCAGAATTGGTGTTAAATGTCAAACAGCTTAGTAATAGAATATCAGGACAGAGCTGAAGTACTCTCCTTTGCTAAGAATCGTTGTCTGGACCATCTTGTCCGAATCTTAAATTGGGTTCATCCTCCAGTTTTCATTCTGTGCTCTAGTATTTGCTTATCAGTCATTAATGTTTGGTGTCTGTGACATAGTGTTTGGTCTCTCCACCCAAAATTTCAGCAACATCTTACTAAAATAAGAAAGTAATGTATTTCTTAGCTGAGTAGTTGGAAAGGCAGGAGACATTTAACTTCTTCATTTCAGCTTTAGATTTAATCCTTTATGATCAGACCTGCCTGAATTTCAAAACAGAGTATGCTCTCTACCAGGTCTCAAAAGCAGGTTAAAATAAAGTGCAGATATGTCTGGAACGAGATGGAAGGAAAGGAAGGACTGACTCTTTGCATCTTCCAAGAGCCATATTCAGCCCAAGGTCAGAAAGAAAAGTTGGTCTAGATTAGTAGATGGCTCAGTACCATTCTCTTGCTGTGTTTAGTGGCGCGCTCCTGTGTGTGGCATATACATGGAATTACTTGAAATAAAATTCCCATTTAAAAATCAAGCTGAACTGTATTACAGTTTAGCAGGAAAATTTTTTAAGTTGGTGAAATTGAAATCTGATATAAGAATAACTTCATTGCAAGGACTTCCCACCTCTCTTACTTCTCTGGAAACACATGAATTTTGAATTTTGTTTGTAGAATTCCTCTCTTTTTCTTGTCTTTTTTTTTTTTAATCCTTTTGAAGTTTTGTGGAAATTATTTTCCCAAAGTTACATTTTGGGAAGAGTGTGCTATTCACTTTGAAGTGGTTTCAAAAGCTTCAGAGATATTGCTTTATTTGTACTCCTAAGTGGTACAGATGAAGCCTGGGGATGCTTTTCATGGAACAGTTGTTTATTCTGAGCAGCATGGCTCAGGATGGGATGTTACAGACTTCCTTAAGTGTTATATTTAACACACACCTGCTCTGTAATCAACAATAAGATGAAACCTCAAATTTGGCAGGATTGTTAAATTGTTCATTGTCCGGACAAATTTGTTGAACTTGCGTGATTTTCTGCAACCTGTTTTCTCAGATGGCTGGTGTGGATTCTAATCTTGTTGCAATTGTGGTACTGTTGCTGCTGAACATATTTCATAATTTCGGTGGAAGGTGCGTGGAATCATAAACTGTTCTTTTGATGAATTATATTTTTAAAAAAATCCTTTTTCAAGTGCTGATGTGGTTTTTTTTTTTTAAAATTGTTTTTCATGAAATAGTTTACATGAGGTAAGATAACTGTCAAAATTTGAATGAATTACCGCAATGTTATGCACTACAGATATATATTAGCCTTCCACTTTAAATAGACATGTCTAGCACATAGAATACCATGTATTGCAGTTCTGCCAGGTTATTTGCTTTTCTCTGAAACAATAGTAATAAGGCTGAGGGGAAAAAACACAAATTTCACTTTAAAAGAAATATGTCTGTAAACAGACAAGCTGAGATCTGTATCAGGTGGACTGACACTTTTTTAAATGCTCACTACTGCACAGCATAATGAATATTCATGTAAATACCAGTGTAGGTGGGATTCTCCTATAGTTTGGACTTAGTAGGTGTAAATGTTTCTGTTGTTTTGTGGCGTGTTACATGTGAGTTAAACATGGTTGTGAAATACAGATGTTTGCAACTTGGGGACAGTGCCAGAGTAAGTCATCGTGAAATGACCTGATACAGTTTCGATTTAGATACTACACGTTTCTATTTAGATGCTCTCTGTGTTAGCAGTTACCACAGTGCTCTATTTTTCTGAAGCGTCCTATACATATTAATGACATTTGTTTTCCTTGTTTGATCTTCAGTCACCATCTTCTCACTGTGTTCTTCTTCTCTTTTCAATGCAATCACCTCTTTCAAATTTTCCATGCTTGCCACTTTTTCAGCTCACACTGTGTAACTCAGTTAAACTTGAAATAGGTTACTGTGAAGAAGGTCCTTTCTCATCTCTTGCATGGGAAGAGCTGTCACCTACATATGTTTTAGTCTTTCGCCTGTTAATAAGGGATTGTTCTCGTTTCCATTCTTGTTGTCTTTGCCATTAGCTCTTCAGGGTTCTTCACCAACTTCTTGAGCAGTTGTTGGCCAACAACATATACATAGAAAGAAGATGGGCAGCCCTCCACAGAGTTGTTTCCCAGATGCCGACAGCTTGCAGTTGAAGGGCAGTTCTTGAACTACAGATGTAATGGTGGTAGCTAATAACCTGTGAAGGATTTTATTTTCTTTGAATTTGCTTGCATTTTGAATCTGTATACAGTTTTTCCAGTTTACACATTAGAAGAGATGCCAGTTCCTTTGGCAAATATGCTGTCTATGCACTTATTTTCACTTCTGCTAGAAGAAAAATATCCCACATATATGACAGGCTTCAGGTACGGCTGCTAATTTTTTTCAACCTGCATTGTTTTGTTGATGACAGATACTGGTTTATGAAAACAAAACTTTTCAGAAACATAACCAGTTTTAATAAACCTGTTTTGTCTGATCCTGGATGGAATTTTAGGGAGGAAGGTTGAAAAAAAAGAACCCTTCAGTACCTTGGTAGAAGAGAATTTCTGGGGTGTGGAGGAACATAGTTCATATCTGCTGTGTCAGGCAGTATCAAGCTCCAGTGAATGTTGAGTTACTGACACAAAATGGAGTACCTCCATGCAGAGGCATGGAATAAGAGAGGGGCAGTGACTGACTTTTTTAACCTCGTGGTTTAAGAATCACATCTGCAATAAGAGTTCTTGATAATGCAAATACTTGAAACCAGATGTTTTTATACAGGGTTAATATCCTTACCAAAATAAATATGGAAGGGAACTCTTATACTTGGAAATACTGTTGGTGTCAAATGGATTGGGGGAGATGGGGGAAAACTCAGAGCTGTAAGCTGGGAAAAAATACCCTGTCTACCTTTTGTTCCAGATTTAAATGCTCCATTTTGAGTTGTGTTATGTGATGGTTCAAATCTAGGTAGAGTTTACTGTACCGTGAGCGCATCATTTATTTATATCTTGTCTTCATGTTAAAGAACGGGGTTTGAATTGGAGAATTTAATGTATGGATTTAGCAGATAAGATGCACTTTGTCTGCTCTTGGCTTATGTTTGTTAGTGCTATTATTGGCACTGTTGTCTGCCTCATAGCGAATAGTTAATTGCCAGCTCATAAACACACACTGAAGTGCGAATATATTTAATTCCTAACGTTTTATCTGATCTGTTTAGCATTTCAAAGCATTAGCACTGTTCCCTCCCAAAGATGGTTAACTGGTGACACATCCACAGCTTGTATTGTCTTTTTTTCTCCCACATTAAAACTAAGGTAAATTTTTTAGCAACTGTTTTTTCTCATGCTAACAGTGAATGTCTTCTTCCCTGCAGTAAAGCTGTGATGGATCTATTGGTTGATTTATGCAGCCAGTATCGCTTAAATCCATCCCAACACAGTCTTGAACTGAAGTCTTCGGGAACTCAACAACCTCTGAGTTACAAGCCAAACACTTTGGTAGGAGCACTGGATGTACAGACGGTACTTCTGAAAGAGAAGGTTCCTGAAGAGAAGACAAAGCGACCTCTGCCAAGGGTCCCTGAGGTCGGTACTCTGTAGGGCTAAAATGGTGCCATGAAACATCATTTCATTCCTATGATTTCAAGCAGTTCTTCCAATCTTTGCTTCTTCAAACCAGATGGGAGAGGCTTGAGATTGACTATAACCTGCTTTACTAGCTTAACTGATTTGCATGCAGACTGGCAGGTGCCAGTCTGGACTCCAGCATTTAGCCAAAATGTTATGTTGCATGTGGTTGGATAATGGAAATCTGTTCTTATAAAGACCCTTGACTGAAGACCGGGGTGATTGAAATTTGCAGTAGTGGCTGAAATGAGGGTTGTGGGGTTGTGTGGAGGTAGGGAGGGTTTTGGTGGTATTTTGTTTGCCATCTTTATTGAAGATATGGGAGAAGACTGATTGTTAATAAATGTATTTCACAGTATTGTGAAGATTCAGAAGTAGCCATTTTCCAAATATGTTTGCTGAAATTTTTATTATTCTGAAACAGTATAGCTAATTATAATGTCATGCCTTTCAGAGTGGTACTTGTAAATATTCACAAATTACGGCTGCCTCTGATTCCTTTTCCTTATTCGCCTGTTCTTATGAATGTCTCCTTAGTGACAGGGGATTTCTGAGATTTTTTTTTAAAATATTTTTTTTAATAATATTTTTTGCAGTAGTATGCATGTGGGGTAAGTTTGCCTAGGAGTTGTCAAGACAATATGGAAGTCCCCAATGCCTTTCTCATTGTAAGAGTGCCTAGCCATCACAGAGGGAGGGGCTGAGAGTTTGGGTTTGTTTCTGCAGAAATCTGTGAGGCTGGTAGTGAACTACCTGAAGACGCAGAAAGCTGTGGTTCGAGTTAGTCCGGAGGTGCCTCTCCACAACATCATCCCAGCTATTTGTGAGAAGTGTGAAGTCAGTCAAGAGCACATTGTTCTTCTGCGAGATGGCATCACTGGGGAGGAGCTGGAGCTTACCAAGTCCTTGGAGGAGCTGGGAATAAAGGAGCTGTATGCCTGGGACAGGAAAAGAGGTGAGTTGAGACTGAAAGCGGTCACTGCAGGGTTAGATGATGTGCCAACAAAATTATGGGCAACTTAAAAGCGTTTGTGCTCTCGTTCCTTTGGGGCCTGGCTGAAACAGCAGAGTGACATCTCAGTCCGGGGAGCTGCGCGGGTTTGTTCAGTGAGCCGTGCCCAGAGCAGCAGCCAGGACAGCAACATGCCCAGCTGTCCCTGGCTGCGCTCAGGCCCCGCGCCAGGCTGGGCTGGCCCCTGGCAGAGCGCAGGTTGGCCTGGGGCAGGGCAAAAGGAGGAGCTTTGCTACCTCCTGGAGCTGCTGTCGGTACAGGTGTGCGTAACACAGGGGCCTCGTCCAGGCAGAGCCTGTCACCTACCTGTGCTGTGGGTTGGAGAGAAGGAAAGAAGAGACATGCCATAGTCATGGCAGCTGCAAAAGCTGAGAGGCAGAGGCAACAGACCAGGGCTTATGAGAGACAGACTGTGGATAGGTTCAGAGACAATTCCTCCAACGAGCGAAGTTATTGACGGTTTAGTGAAGAGGAGCTAAGAGGTACTTGTATTTAAAAATTTGTTCTCTTGTTTATGCACCCTCACTTTCTGTTCTCGTAGATGATATTGTAGTGACAGCTTCTTGGGCTTGAGTTTTACCAGCCTGATTGTGTATTCAGATAGCATAATTACGCGACGTGCTTTAAAATATACCTGCTTTAAAAATACACATTGACAAGCGCTACTTCCTTTGAGGTCAGAAAGTGATATTCATTAAAATTGTCTCCTGCAGTTTGTCTCAATTGGTATCACTTCCAGCACAGTAAATGTCCTTATTTATTGTTTAGATAACGTCAGTCTTGTAGGTGCTGAGCAGCAGGCTTATTTTTTATTTATAGAGTTATTTATTTATGTTGACATTCTGTCTCTTCTTTCAAACTCCTTTGGTAAGTGACAGTTCTACCTCTGTGTGAGTCAAATTTCTGTGAGTTTAGACTTTTAAGTAAACTAAATGTCTCCTTTTCCTTTCAATTGTCAGGATCCTCAAAAAAGTGGCTGACAACATGTCATAAATCAATTGCATGTTTGTTTGATTTTAAGATATGTTTACTGTAATTAAGCTAACTGTTTTGGAGCAACATATTGAACATGCAGAGTATTCAACAGGATTCATTCAGCGTACTTCAGGGACAATTTACAGAGTAATTAGCCTAAGCCTTCCTTAAACTTTTCCTTTAAAATGAAAGTGATGGTGTATATACTGGTGCAAATATTGGTCCTTAAATCCAGTTGTAGCCTGTACAGTCAAAACCAAGACTACTTCAGGGCTGGGATTATAGCAGCAAATGATATAACACTTTGTAGTGTGCTGCTGTCTGCATCAGAATTTTTTTTATATTTTATTCTTTTTTAACCTTTCAGTATACCTTTCATTATGATAAAATCCCCCTGATCCTGTGTGTACTTCAGCTTTTTCTGCCTTCCTCTTACTCTGCTCCATGGTGTCTGATGAGAAAACTGGTAAATACACATAAAATTTACAGAAGGTTTCCTTTGTTCCAGCAAATTCCTTCTTCCTGTGTTCTCATCTGTACTCTCCAACAGGAATAATCCCACTGGTTTCAGTAGCAGTTGGTCTATGAATTATGCATTGAGTAGATGTCCAGTCTGTTTAATTACCAGAATGCACAGAGTTTTAAAACACATTCCCACTAACAAGTAAGGCATCAGAGGTGCTGAAAGCATAGGCTGTGCTTGTAAGAGCAGGTTCTAGAAAAACTTTGTGCTTGTCATTCTTTCCTTCCCTGCAACAGAAATACCAAGTGCTGAAGGATTATTAAAAGACGAGCTCTGCTGCCACCTGCTTACATAATTCGATTTAGCAGTTGAAGCAGCTTCACCAGTGAATCGGGAATGAATACAAACGCAGCGAAACTGCCTCTAGTAACAGCTCTGCGTGTCTGTTGTTGGTCAAAATTTTTTTCTGTAATGGTTAGGAAAACAAATGCTAGGAGTAATTAATGAATATTGTGGCTTACGAGGCAATATTAGAACTTTAATATGTCTTCTCTTGTCCTTTCATTGCCTGCCTTTTCCAGTTCCTCCATCAAAAACTCAGTCTGAACCTTCTCTGAACTATAGAGGTACTGTACAACGCTGCTGAGGGAAAACCGTCTTTCCCTTCACACACTGTTTAATGTGGGTTTGGTAGATGGATCTTTAAGAATGTCATGTAAAAATGCTGTAGAGAAACTAGCTATTTTCTATCTGTGTTGTCTTTTGCAAAGTGTTGTTTACATGTCTGTGCTTTTGGTCAGAACAAACACACTTCTGTGCATACTGCTTCTTCAGTAATTGCCATTAAAATGCCAGCAATTAACAAATCCTGTCATTTAACTGTTGTGTGGTATGGTATGTTTCTATACAGATTCCAAGCCTTTTCAGGTTACCTAAAGCATGATTAGTTGAATTTCAGAAATGCTAACATTTGAGAGGTCTCTTGGGTTCAAAATTTATTTAGTAACAAAGAATATTTTGAGATCTAGGAGGTCTTCCACTAATTTCAATTTACATGCAGCGAAGCATTTTAGTATCAAACCTATGTATACACGTTGGATAACTCTGAATAGATGCTGACTTGTTATTGCTACGGTAGGTGTGGTTTGGTTAGATTACATTGGTGCTTCTGCTTCTAGTTAAGCAGAAAATGTGTATATTTAGTATATTCTTTTCCCCATTGAGTCTGTTGTAATACATTGCTTAAATTAATTATCCTCAAGAAAGGTATGGTTGACTTGTAACTGGCTTTGCTTCTTTGCATTACTAGTAAAGACAACATAACCAGAATAAAACTGTGGCTAACTTCTTTAAATTTTCAGGAAGGAAGGAAGTCCACCTCCCATAGGTGACAGCTATCAAGCGAGTCTTAGCTCATGGCCTACTGCCTCTTGGCTTCGCTAATGCCAGTACTTTTCCCCCTAATCCTCTGTCATTACTTGCTGTGGCTTCCTCTTATACAGAGCATGATACTAGAGAGAATATCTACTGTATTTATTTAAGAAAAATTGATACAGATTTATAAAGAAGCCTTGTTGTTTTGAGATGATACGCTGTGTTTAAAGTCCCAATTTATTGGGATTATACAATGTTTAATGGTAATGTTGATATCAGCAGTTACTGACATAGGTCATAGTTTAAGACTATGTAAGGGATTCATAATCCACATCTAGTTGCAGCCCAGCCCCAAGCAGAAAAACAGCAGTTTCTGGCAAATGAGCATAGGCAGCGCTTAGTATTTGAGAAAGATAGTAATTTATTACTGTATTTTTTTGCAGTGGAGTTGCAGCCTTTCTTAAGGATAGTTTCTCCCTATTTTCCTCTGGGTTAATCATCTTTACTCTTCTACTGTGCTTTGACCTACCATATGTATTTAACACCTTCTAACACCTGACATTGTTGATATGCCAAGTGCTCTGTGTGAAATGCAAATCAGTTTACAGGAGTTCTGGGATGAGGGGTTTTTTTGTGAAGTAAACCTTATTTTGTGTCAACAAACAAGTCATTTTGCATTTGCTTCTTAATTGTTATTAAACAAATAAAGCAAATCTTTATAAGAGAAAGCAGTTTTTCTCTGTACATTAGACTTTCTGTGTGCTAGTGGGATACTCTGATGTGCTTGGAACCAGGGAGATGCCTTTATAGCATTATGCAGTGTTCATTAAAAAAAGTGGGAGAGCTTTACAGTCTGTATATTGAATGTTAAACCAATGGTTGTTCCCTGTAACGCATGACCTTATCATGTTGCTCATCCAGCTCGGCTGGTGTTGGGGAAATTGAAGGGAGACTAAAATGGTCTGAGAATTCATACAGTTCCTTAGCTGGTTCAAGGAGGACATGCATGTTTGAGCTGTTACAGGCTGAAATGCATGTAAACTTGCCTCTCTTCCCACCTGAAGTAAAAGCACCAAGACGAGAAAAGATGACCACGATCAACTGGTTTAAGTTCTAAGGAGAGCCCTTTTTCCAGGGGAAAGGTCTCTTTCCTCTTCATGGAGCTTTATCCAAATCCATATTGAGAGTCTTTCCGTTAACTTCACAGTGTTAAGTCAAGCCTGTGGATTGTTAAAGATACTCACTCTAAAGACTAAGCAACTTGCTCCTGTTTTGCCTTTTAATAAGGATTACTAAGTTGTGATTGAAAACTTACTGAAGTTTATTAAATTATTCCATTTACTTCCATTAGATTTTGGAACAAACTCAGAACAAATAGAAGTTTGATGAAAAAGAAAGTGCGGGATCTGGCAGTTACTTAGATAAATCAGTTCATAACATCTCCAGCTCAAAAAAATACAGCATTAATCCAGGATGTTTTAAAATACTGATCTTCTGAATCTTTATTTCAGAAATGTAAAAAATATTACATTATAATTGTTTCAGAACCAAGTCGAAAGGCTTCAGTAAGCAATGATGCAATAGAAAAAGAAAAGACAAGACTTCTGGGATTGTTTAAAGCTGATAGAAGAAGCAGCAAGGTAAGTGTTCAGCAGTGTACTACTTCATTAAAGAGAATTGTTTTCTTTCCAGGTGTATTTTGTCTGTGGGTGATGGTGTTTGTTTGGGGTTTTGTGTTTTTTCTTTCCTTTTTTTTTTTTTTCCTTCCAAGGAGTAATCTGTTAGCAGATGCATAAACTATGTTTAATCAGTGCAGCCTGATGGAGATACCAGCTGCTTATTGAAGGAGTCAGACACATTGACCATTTAATTTTTTTTTTTTTAAATGCTCTGTGTTCAGTAGGTGTTAACAAAGAGCAGTAGCTTCAAGCAACTTATGACCACTTATTAGTAGTGCTCAGATTACAAAATGCATTTATGAAAGAACTGACGTAATATAGAATACATTAAGATATCAGGTAGAAGCGTCTTATTAACTCTTCTGTGCATGGGTGATAATCTGTTTTAAAGCATTTATATCTTTAGGAAGCTCTGCGCAATCATGCTATTGCCATCTCCAAGTCTGTAAAACCAATGAATCAGGTGTAGAAGAAATAACTTGCAGTACTAAAAGGAGTAATAAACTGAAGGATCAGCATCTGCTGGGGTGCATGTTAGGCATTTTTAACTTTTTTTTTAATCTTGAGTTGGAAAAACTAAAAAAGAAATTTCATGTAAAATAATTTTCTTCTGTTGAGATGCCTTTTTAAAAAATTTGTCATTCATCACAGAAATTAAATACAGAAAAACTTTCTAACTCAAGAACATATTAAAAATACTGGGCTTTTAACTCCATACTTTTTGCATCCTTCGCTAGAAATATCAATGTCAACTGATTTTGATTATCAAGTATTTAATACTCTGGGGTGTCAGAGTAAAAAGAGAATTTTCTTTTGCCTGGTTTAAAAAGCCCTCCAAGGCTTTTGCAGTGAAATCATAAAATGCGTGTCTGATTAACTGGTACTAAGAAACTTATGCTTGTTAACGGACTGGTGTTTCACTTACCCTTCCAGTCTTCTCAGTCATGTTTTTAAAACTGAAAGCTTTCCAAAATCTTTATTAGTTCTCTGCCCTTTTGATTATGATCAAATTTGGAGTGCTTTTGCTGGGCAATAGCTTCCTTTATGGACACTGGGAATTACTGTGTTGAAAAATCTCATCTGTCATGGATGCTGAGCTATTCTTAACATCTTACGAAGGACTCATGGAAACTGTATTTTATGAGATAGGAAGTCAGTCACTTTCAGAGTGTTTATCCTCCGTAAGAAAACATTTCCCATTTAGAAGGGAACAAAAGCATAACTGGAGCAATAATGCTGTATCTGCCTGGAAGGATCAAATAAACAAGGGAGCTCAGCTTGAGCCTCTATAGAGCATGCTGTGGGGCTGCAGTTCCTCTGGAAGAACCAAATGTATTACAGCGTGCAGTTTCTGCATCATCGTTTCTCCTCCAATTCTATTTTCCTGAACTTCGGTATGAATGTGTGCTCTTGGAGTTCTAACTCCTGAAACAGCTCAGATTTAACTTGTAAAATATTTACGCTTGCAACCTTAGAAAAAGTTGCTATGAAGCATCCCAGTTCTGTGGTTACTTCAGTGGGTTTCTCACAGCCGAGTTTGGGATAAGTGTCCCAAGATTGCAAACTCCTCTCCTTTTTTCTTGTCATTTCCTCATGCTTGTTAATCAGAGACGTAGGAGGTGATACTCTGAGGGTTTTTAAAATACAAATTGTAATAGATACTAAGGATATTGAGGATCAATTAACAAGTTACAAGTAGTATTTGACCTGGGAAAAAGTAGGAACTGTACAAACAAGTATGAGAAACAGCTTCTAAATCTGAGGTAAAGGTGTAACTCTTTCTTGCTGCTAGTTCTGACAAGTTAATTGACTTTTCTTGGTCATTTATTTATTGGACTCTTACTTTCAAATGACAAATACTCTGTAGGAAAAGAAACTAAAACAACTACTTTGTTTAGTCCAGCAAGGAAGTCCTTGTTGCCTTTTCAATAGAAATCTCTAGGAGTTTGAACCCAAATAAATGGAAGAATTACTGAGAACTGAAGAATAGCACAGGACACAGGAGCAAGCAGGTGTTAACTGGCCATAATACATCTGGCTTGGTGTTGTGGAAGATTTCTAGCCAAAACAGCAGTGAAACTGCTGAACAGACTTTAGTTAGCAGAATGAGGGCAAAGTAATTAAGTTCTTTTAAGAAAGGATTTGGTAGGTTTATGAAGGGATTATGTGATGGGATGCCCTGTGATTTCAGGGCACTGGAATCAAAGGCTCAGAGTTCCTCAACTCTGCTCTTTAGAGTTATTCTTACATTTTTACTCCTCCATAAGACTTAAGTTGGTTCTGCTTTTTTTTTTTATTTTTTCTTTGCTTGCTTTATGATTTGCAGTGATTCTGTGTGTGTATGTATGTGGTCATGCATAGCCTGTATTTAGAACTAGTTGATAGCAAGAATTGTCCAAAATCTTGCATGGTAGTAGTGCTGCAGAGTTGCAGGCATTTACAAGGGGAAGGCAATTTCTTTTGCAAGGGAAGAGTATTAGCCTGTGTTGCAAACTGTCCTGGATCAGGTGTCACTGCACACTACAGGCCTACGCTCAGATTTCCATGCCCACGCACATGCTTTCTTTCTCAGCTAGCTCACTGAAAGCAACAGTCGTGGTATGACAATACGCTGCATCTAACTTTTTGAAAAAAACTTTCTGCTGTATTAAAAACACCATGACACAGAATGAAAGCAGAGTCCTATTCTCATCGTTAATACAAATTTGTTGAAAGTATTTCTTTGGTTAACTTTGTACTGGCAGGCTTAATGCCAGATCAGGTATCATCTAGTTCTCTCCATTCTAATTTTATGCTGGATCAGTTACCCTCTGTTCTCCTGCAGCAGGCATAAAAAACATAAAGGTGGTATGAACTCCATATCTTTTTGATGTGAAATGTAGTCATGCGCCTGAGGCTAAATCCAGATCAAATTGGCACTGCTAAGCAATCCAGTAGAGCAGAGGTCCCGTGCAGACAATCATGGGATCTAGGCTTAAATAGGGTATATATGCTGGCGCACAGGAACAGTCCAGTCATTGGCAAGTGGCAGGGAAGAAGTCCTCTGCTTGTTCCCCTGTGTCTGTGGGTATAGCAGAGACTTTCAGTCTGATCCCTGGTGCTACAGGAGTTGCTTACTGCCTGTTTTCTTCCTTGCCCAAGAATTGTTCTGTTTCTTTATATTCTTGTTCTTAACTCTTTCTGCTAGTGGATTTCTTAGGGCCTTGCCTACATCAGAGAAATTTTGCAGACTACTTCAGAGTTTCTCAGCAATCAGGTCCAGCACTACTGAGACAGTTTGTCTTGGTTCTGTGATGAGGTTTGATGCTTTGCTCTGGCATGTTTTTGCTGTTTTGTTTCCTTTGCTGCTGCTGTGTAGGATACTTGTTTGTGTTGCAGACAGAAGAACACTTGAGGATGAACAGAGATTGTGGTGAGGAGGATGTTTTTAGTTCTGCATCTACAAGTGAAGGAAGCTTGGATGTAAGTACTAACATGGCTTGTAGATGCTATTGCATTCCTATTAGATCCTGCAGTTTGAATACCCAGAAACCACTGCTATTCCTGATGCTTAGCCAAGTAGAAGTAGAAATAGCTTACGTGTTAGCAGGCTTAGTTATGTGAGTGCACAGTTTGCGTATCCTGATGAAGTTAAAATGCAATGCACTGTCTTCAGATAAAACTTGCTAGCTTCACTATAAATAAAGTTTCTTTCAAAGTTAAATTCTAAGCAGTTGTGAGCAAAAAGTGTTTTAACCAAGGACATAGGTGTTGTGACTGTAAGACGGTGACAGTACTGCATGATGCAAGAGTATGTTTGCCTTATCAGTGACATTTAGAGGGTGCTTTTTCTTATAAAACCACACCTCATTTTTATCCCTTTACATGTCTTCTGCAGCATGGCAGCTTTCCATTTGTTTCTTAAGTAGCTTGGGGGTGGAGACTACTTTTGTTTTAAACACTGGAAATAACAGAAAGGATTTTTGTTAAGTACTTCAGTAGGTTTTAGGGTACTAAAATCCTGTGAACCACATTTAGAAAGGTTTTTAAGTGCCTGACAGACTACTAATTATGAGGATTTAGGTATCCAATTAGGAAGCGTGAATCCTAAATATTTTTGTAAGGCTGTTCTGGTGGATTAATAATCATAATAAATGGCGTGTCTTTTTGGTGAGTTTTAATTACTTGGCTTTTTGTTACCGTATTTTAAAAACCTGGAGATGACTCTGTTAATGATATGATAGAAGCCTGAAATGTGAGGTTCAGCTTTGAATTCCCCTTTCACAGACAGGTATTTGGAAAAGGAGTGCTGATCCGCAACATGTACAGCTCACTAACCACAGAGAAGGGTGACAGAAAATTGTGGAAAAAATGGAGGAGTGAGAGAGCAAATCCCAGATAAGAAGGATAATATGAAAGAAGTCAAAAGGGAGAAATAGATGGAGAAGTGATTGGCTGTGAGGTTAAAAAACATCTGACTCTGCAAATCTGTGAAGACTTCATAATGAAAGAGTTTTGAAATAGCAAGGCTGCTTATGACACTAAAAATTTGGGTAACGCTATAAAGATGAATATTTTAGTGAGAGAGCTCTGTTAATATAAAGTCCTAGTAGAGGATGTTGTGGGTAATTGAAATATACTAGGTAAAAGTATAGAAAAATCATCACAAGCTCTGCCAAAATAAAATCATCTTGTGGTTTGTATTCACTGCCATTATACATTAATCTCAGTATCTTGATATCTGAGTACTAGAAGAGGAGGACAACGAAGGGGGGGATTCCAAGTGAGGATATGAAGTTAGTTCAGATACTCTGAACTGTCTTTTATACTAGTGTGTGGTGCTTTCCTCAGAAGAGAGACATCTCTTAATTTATTTTTGTAGGGAATCTTACAGGGCTAATCATAAATGAAGATTTTTTTTTTTTTTTCCTTTGACACTGATGAAAAAGTTTTCAAAACTGTCTTGGACATGTAATTTTGTCTTCTAAAGGCACAGGTGATAGGGAGCAAAGGGATCTTGAAGAGGTAAAAAATATTTTCTTTTTTTTCAGTTACATGAACATGTGAGGGATTCCCCCCCCCCCTTTCCTTTTAAGAGCTATTAATTTTCAAGAATGATGTAGCCATTGTTCAGTGTTTACATCTCACTTCTGGCTTTACACCTGTATTTGTATGAGCACCAATCCTGCTAAGACATAAGTACATACTTAAATGAATGTATTGACATAGTTCCATTTAATTTGGTACTATTGTGTTAAAGCTTGCAGAGTATGTATAAAATAAGTCTAACAGATCCACTCTGCTGCACAGAAGGTCCATCCTTTGAACACGCTAGATGGGCTTCCAAGAAAAAGGTCAACAATTGTGATGTCTTAGGTGAAAAATTCTAAAATACTGTGAACTTGGCATAGATAGTTGGCATAGATAACTTGTATTAACTTAAGATAAAATCCAAGTGGAAACGCCAATGAAAGCACTTTATAATTTTTAAATTCAGCGTAGCAGTTCCTTATGGGCTAGACTTTGAGATCCTTGATCATTCTGAGTAATTCTTTATTCCACTTGCTCAAAAGATAGCCTCACTTACTTACTTCAGTGGAACTGAGTATCGTTATTCAAAATAAGTGGTATCTTACATAGCCATATATGTGAAATACACATTTAGAGCTCAGTATGTAGAAGTGTCATTGAGCTAAGATAGGACTTTTGGCAAAATGTCATCCAGTAGAGGCATCCTCTTTTGCAATTTCCTCAGGCCTATCTTCTGTTACTGTTTTGGGTCATCTTGAAAGTATTTTTCTTTGCTGTGTGGGAATCAAAGCCAAAATTTCAGATTTATTTCTGAAAGGAAAATAGTTTGCCATTGCCTTCAGCATGGTGCCAGGAGATACACTGGCTGGATCAGGAAAACCTTTCTTGCCTATAAGGAAATAGGCAACTCATGAAGTACTACTGAGGTAAGGGCATGAACTTCCGTATGCTTAGTTTAAATCCTTTTCTCACTATTATGTGGTGGTGATGTGCACTGAATTGTAGAAAAAGTAATGATTCTATTCTGGGTATTGATTGGGTTTTTTTTGAAAACTGGGCAATCTGAAGGAATGGAATAAAGGTGTAAGAAATAAGAGATCCTTAGTATTCATTCAAGCACAAGTTGTATTTGCTTTTTAACCACCAAACCATTCTCATTAGAATTATTAGTGCTTCTAAGAATACTTTGGATTGTTGATGAGGAAGCAGATTTTCAAAGTCAAGATGGGAAGGTCAACACTTATGCTTGAGGTGAAAGGACATTTGTTCACAGTATCAGCAAAAATGAAGGTGAAAAAAGAAAAATTTGTTAACACCTTAGAGAGAGAGTGTAAAAATGCCAGAAAAGAATTCTCTATGATGATCCTCAGTGCAGCAGTTCATTATACCACACGTCGGTAAAGGATCTGAAATCTAATGGCGTATTGTAAATGAAGCAGAAATCTTTTCCTTAATCTGTTCTAGTTTTGTGCTAAGCAGATGAGCTTTATATCCAGGTTAACTTTTCACAAATCAAATGCTATTGAAATACACTGGTGTATAAATACAACATACAAATAAAGCAGTTGGAAGTTGCAGCACAGTTAACCATATTCTGCTTTTTGTGTGCCAAAAACAGTCAGAGCTAGAATTTAGAACAGCTAGGGGGGGAAAAAGGGAGTTTAAGTCATCTCTGCCGCTTGGTGTCACTGTCCTCAAATAAACAGTTAATCAAGATGAAACCCGATATTTGGAATGCAGTACTAAAATTAGCTGTTTTTATTTTTGGGGCCTTCGTGCTTTCATAAATCAAGAGCGAAAAAACACATCCCAAGTGCTGAACGAGGTGTATCTCTGATGTGGAATTTGTTTATGTAATAAATCAGCTTGGGAAAAAAATATTTAGAAGTACAGCCAGGGACACTTATCAGAGGATTTGAAACTTCAGCACAAAGTCTTATCACACAAGGTTTCTCTAGTTCAAACAGGGCTTCAGCAGAGCAATGTTAGAGGATTTTCATCAGGACCGTTTTTAAAAAAATCTAGTCTTCAGTGTATGTCTGAATGTAGGTGTTACTCATAACAGAATCAGTGAACCTAAATGAAGCAGATAGCCCAGTAGTTCCCTGCTTAATGAATCTGTCATGCCTATTATTATATATGTTCATGAACAAAACTATCAGGGAAAAACAATGTCATTTTAAATTCCAAACAGTTATCAGGTAAGTTTAGGATATGTGGGTTTGGTGTTGTTTTTTTTTATTTCATAGTACCTGTCTAATTGCAAGATCGTGTTCCAGAAGAAAAATACTGTGCTAACATTTGAAAAATGTCATCAGGACTTCTAGTGCATGAGTAATCTTGGCAGTCACTTCTTAAATGATGGAACAGCTATTTTCCCTATAAAGGCTTTTAAAAAAAATCTGTTATTTACTTTTTCAGGGCCTTGTTTGTTCTTAATGTACTCTAACTTTTATGCCCTCGTTGATGGCAGGAGTTATATCATTCATGATATGCTTTCCCAGTTCAGAAGTGGTTGGAAGAAGGATCAAATACAATTATGCAAAAGTGATTGGAAATATGATTTCTCTTCAACCATGTCAGGTCCCAGGTGATCAGTTAATACCATCTACTGTCAAGGATTTCACCTCACGTGGCCAGGTATTGTTTAGGGCAGTAGGAATGAGAAAACTGCCCATGTCATCTAAATGGAAGTTAACAGCCATCTACTTCTAATATTTCCTTGTATGACAATCACATTCACTTTAAATTCCTGTTCTCGTGTTCTTGCTTCTTGGTCTCCTGGCAATGCTTAGGATGATGTTGGTTATGTGTGTTTATTTGTACTAGCAGGGTCAAATCCTGGGATAGTTCTGTTGCATTTTATACAGTTAGAGCTATCTATGTACACTGTCAAAGGCATAGCTTGTGATCCGACCTTGAAACAATTTTGCTTATTGTGATTTTGTTTGCAGAACGTAAAACTCAACAGAGTATGGAGAGTTGTCTAAATAATACAGCAGACTGGTCTGTCCCCACCAATCTTCTGTTATAGGGTGCCTGTAAGCAAGTAGTTAGATGCCAGAGGATGACACTAGGGAAGATACAGTATAGTTATAAATGTTTTCATTTGTGCAACTGTTTACATGATTAGAAGAAAAGTAGATTTATTAAATACCAGGTATCTCAGGAAAAGGTTCATCATTACAGTAGAGTCAGTTTTATTTTTATATGCTCTGATACTCTCTGAGGGGAAAAAAAAAAAATTATTGTTAACTTTCTTTGGTAAGAAGAAGGGTTTGCCAGAGCCAACTAGCTTGTGACTGGCGTTCAGAGAATTCCGGTAGGTAGCAAAGATGACAGTGATCAGCTTTCTTTCTCCTTGTCTGCCGAGTGCAGGACGAGAAGTAATGTGCTTTATATATAGCAATGAAATTTTAACTTAGATATTAGAGGGAAAAAAACCTGACTGC